CCTGTGCATTACAAGGATGTTTGGCAGCATTATTACAGGTCTCCACCAGTAGAGTCCTCATCCCAGTTTTAGCAACGAAAAATATCTCCACATATTGCCCAGTGTCCACTGAAGGGCAACTTTGTCCCTGCTTGAGAACCATTGGCTTAGAAGAACATAAATATGGTAATGGCAGAAGGAGAGTGTGATTGGGGAGGGGCCTCCAGGAGACCTGGTGGTGGGGAAACAGCGGGTGAGGAGGTGGTGACTGTGCTGAGCAAAGGCAGCCACGCAAAATGCTGCAGCACCCGGAGAAAACTCTCCACACAGACAGAAAAGCAAGTGCAATGGCCTGAGGTGGGTGGGCGCTTGGGGAAACAGCAAGAAGCCCAGCAAGGCTGTAGCACAGTACACTCCAGGCAAAAGGATGTAAAGGTGAGTGAAGAGGTATAGGGCTTTTTATTTTAAAAACTTTCATTATAAACTATCTAAATCTACTAACCTTTTCTAACTGTGCTTTGTCTCTTTTACAGACACTGAATAGAACTCCAGTTGTCTAAAAATAGACATGTCTTACCCTAAGTTGAGTTTTGAGAATTACCCTGGATTTAAACCCTCCTTTCCTCCAAACTGAATGGTCTGTGTTGATTATCTTCAAGCAAAGAATCACCTAAGCTGATTTTTCTCAACCGTGGCACTTTTGACATTTGGGGTTGGATGATACTTTGTTGAAGGGGCTGTCTTATGCACTGTAGGATATTTAGCAGCACCTTGAGACTGTATCCACTAGATGCCAGGACCACCCGCAACCAGGTAACGACAACCAAATGTGACTGCAGACACTGCCAAATGTCTTCTTGGGGCAAAATCACTGATTGTTGAGAAGCACTGCTCTAAATTTCTCTGTCTTTCTCTCTCTCTCGTCTGTCTTTCTCTGTCTTATACTAGCAGAGAATCTTGGTCCTGGACTTATAAAAGAAAAAATCACAAAGGCACATGAAGATAAAGAAGTCTCATAACAGACTGTGGTGTTTAAAACAATACCTGATGGTACCAAAGGTATATGCTTCGTGGAGGCCTGCCTGACTCACCTCCCTCTTGAAGAACATCCCATCACCTAAGGCCCTACTCATTGGGATGCAAAGGGGACACCTGAGCCAACCAGGCTCACTCAGGTACATCCCTCTCTGGAACTCAAAACAAGAACCTCAGACAGAGACCAATCTATGCCAGGCACTGGGTGAGAGATTCAGGGAAGCTTGGGCACAGTGGTGGGGGGTGGGACACTTGCTGCCTCAAGCACACCCTGCAGAGGCCAGAGAAATAGAGACAAGGAATCTGGGGGTCAGAGAAGAACTGGGGTGGCCACTCTTGCCACAAACTTGCTAGGGCAGAAAAAGCCATTCTGAATAGATAGTTAAATAAGCCGACGCAGAGAGAGAAGTCAGGACATAATTATGCTGGTTCTCAGTTCCTATGTCAGCCCCTTATAATGCATAGCTGTAAACCCTACCTTTGGGTTCTCTAAAACACCCCATATTTCTTTCTACCACTTTCTCTCCTTTGGCTGAGAGCCAAAGGGTACTAGGTTTCTTGCCCAGCAAGATACACAGAGACCACATAGAAAGAGACGAATCCAGAAAATGACTAAAGCTGTGGGAAGGAGGGAAGGCAGGTTCCAGAGGCCAGAAGGAGGGAGGTGGCACATCCCCTGCATGGTGTAGGGGGAAGGCCTTACCCAGAGAGACCAGGAGCCCGCAGTTTTCCAGCATCACCTCCTGGTACAGGGTCCGCTGAGCGGGGTCCAGCTGTCCCCACTCCTCCTGGGTGAAAGTCACAGCCACATCATCAAATGTTACAGACACCTGTAAAGTCAAATAGAGGTACCAGTGTTGGCCTGTGGACAGTTGAATGTGATAAGAGCTTGTCTATGCTTTGCTGGAAACGGTGTAGAGAGATCAAGGCCCGAATCACAGAGCACCTCCTGGGGGCCAAGCTCTGTGCTGGGCTCAAGGAGGAGGGAGATGTACTCTGAACAATATACAATAGCATAAGAGAGAGAAACCTCCGATGAGTGCACTATTAGAGAATGACACAAGACAACAGAAATGACTTGTGGACTGTGAGATGCAGACAGTAAGGGCTCTAGGATGTCAGAGGAATGAAGAAATAATAACAGTGGTAATAATACCAATAATGGTAAAAAAAGCAGTACCTGAGCCTTATTGGTCCAGCTAGGTGCCTGCCCCATGCTGAGGGCTTCACATCTTGTGTTAAAATAACTAAAAGTCCCCAGCTCTGAAGTCAGACTCCTGGAGTTGGAATATAAACTCCTAAAACTAACTAGTACAACCTCAGGAACCTCACTTCATCTCTGAGTCTTGATTTCCAGATCAATACAGCAATTCCCACTTCACCAATAACAGTCATAAAATTTAAAGAGAAAATAGTCAGTGCTTGAAAGGCATTAGGATTTTTATCAATTCTCCCACAGCCCCTGAGGTAAACGTCATCATCAGTCTCCAGGTAACAAGGAGCTCCACAAATTCACCCATAGTCTCACATTTTATGAGGAGAGACAGAATTGGAACTCAGGTCCTGCTGATCAAGGGTCTAATAGTATAAGCCTAACAATCATCCATCACCAAAGTCAATCTACAGTAACAAGGTTGTGAAATACTTTTACTAATTTTTGCTGTTCAAAGTGTTTCAGCAGCTCCTGAAAATATTTATTTCTATGACATGGGCAGAGCCCTTATCACCAGACTCATGGAAAGGCACCCACGGGGAGTGGCACTGCCTGGACCAGCTCACCCACTGTCCCCTCTACCCCTTTCCCTAGGCTCACAGACATCCGTGGGATTGTACAATGAACCGCTAGCCTTTTTCCTCTTTGAGTCCACTGGCAGGTTATCTCTAAGGTCAGTATACTTTAGGACGAAGAAATTCAAGTGGTTAAAGATAATGCAGGCTGTGGTCATGGCAGCACTGGCTTTTGACTGACCACAATATCTATACAGGCCAAAGATGGGATAAACATCCAACAAAAGACCACAGGACCTTGCCCTTCTGGGACATGTCTCAGGCAGGTGAGGGAAGAACCATGGCAACCTCACAGGCTCTCTTGGATCTCCTTAAACAAACCAATACACCTTGCCTTTGTTTACACAGTTCTCTTTGCTTGGGTATCTATCCGTCACCCCCAATGACTCACGTAACTTGCTGGAGAAGAACTACAAAGTTCACTTTAGATGTCATCTCCATGACTTCCCAAACCAATCTGTAAAAACGAAGGCTCTGGTAGTCCACATACTAAATGTTGACTTTCTGCTACTTAAGTGGTGTGTGACGTTGGGCAGGTATTAAACATGTTGGAATCCTGAATGCTTCTCATGTTTAAAAGTGTTAATAACAGAACTTAACTCTGAGGAGAACAGGATTTCTTTCTTTCTTTCTTTCTTTCTTTTTTATTCCCGAGGATAGACAAAGAAGAGATCAGGATTTAAATGAGGTGATAAATAATGCCCGCCCCTCAGCCCACATCAAGGATTCAGTGAAGGCTCGCTATTTTGCTTCTTGTGTTATTATTTGTGTTCTTTGCCCTCACAACATCCTAAAAGACCTCAAGCCAGCAACTTTTTAGAATTCTGCCAGATCCCCTATACAAAAAAGCAAGACCAAGGGCAAACAGGGAAGGGACTACTTTAGCCTGAGCTGAAAGAACAGGCCTCCTGGAAAAAGTGACATATGAGCAGAGCCAAAAAGATGCCAAGGGCGGTCTTACAGAGATCTGAGGACAGTGTCTGACACAGCATGAACTGCAAGCAAAGGCTGGAAGAGTAAAGAAAATTTTGCATGGTCAGGCTGATGTGTCTGAAGAGAAGTGAGCCAGGGAAGAAGGGAAGGAGACAAGGTCAGAGGTGGTAAGCCAGGGTGGACTGGGTAGGGACCTGTAGACCATAGCTGACAGTTTGGGATATACCTGTGATGGGATCCCCTTAAGTGGAGGTTCATTCATCCTTCAACCAATTATTGAGCACCTGTCAGAGGCCTGACACTGCTGGCATGGGGAAGCTGAAGGAGGGGTGACTAGATAGAAGAGGAGCATCCTATAAGATTGGTTAGGGGTGCATATATGGCTTTATCTGGTTGATTCTAATTTGGAAGCAGAAACAAAAATTAAGGGAACAGTTAGTTATTAACCATGTACTTACCATGTTGGGCCGATTGTTACAGAAGTTATCATTTAGCTTCCTGGATTCTCACTACAGATGGTAATCTGGCTTTCTGCAAGTCTGACTCAGTGCAGTCTGGCTCCAAAGTTGTTTACTGTAGAAAAGGGGGTTAGCTTCCTGAACAGGTTGCTAGAAATTGTGGGCCAAAGTCCTACTTTTATGTACGGTTTGATTATTGTCCATTTGCATATTCAGTCTTTATGTGCTAAGACTGGAGATAAACTAAGTGATGGCCAGCTCCACTTTTCCTAAACAAACACAAATGCAAAAACAAACCCGGTGGCTTTCTCGGCTTCCAGCCTGATCAGGCCTCTGAACCAACGGAGAAGCAGCAAGACCCAAAATCTCGTCCACTCACCTGCGCCGGATCCATCAACGCAGCCGCCATCCTAGGACACTGTGGATCGGGCGGGGATGGAAAATGTAGCGACCGGGGCGATTCCCGTGGGCTCAGCCGACCCTCAGCCTTTCCCTGCCCTGGCCAGAGTGACCTTGGCTGACTGCCGCACTGCCTCGTCACGGGGAGGCTTACGGCTCGTTCCAAGACGCGGAGGTCAGTCTTAGCCTCCTTCCTGCTCATTTCCCAAGAGCCGCCTAGGAGGCGGCCACGAAACACCCCTGGCTCCCCACAGCCGGCGTGGACAAAACCGTCGCACCTAAATGACGTTACCATCAATGGGCCGGAAGTCCCTCTCCTAGCTCCACGGCCCGCAGGAAACCCCCCTGTTGCGGTCCGTCATTGGCCCAGCGCCTGCCGCAGGCGCACGGGGCAATGCCTTCTGGGTAATGTAGTTTTTCCTCTACAAAAACCCCCACGGAGGAGGGAGATCCTGAGCCAGTCTTCCTCTGAGTAAGAGACGCTGCAGGTTCAGAAATACCGTCTCAGACCCAACTCTTTACAGTGGACAGAGCTTGGAGGATCCAAGGGGCGGGGACGAGACTGTTCATTCTTCGCCCGTGGAAATCCAGGCTCGGGAGGCAGGGACGTTGGCCCGGCCTCAGGACACATGCAAAGACACGGAACTCGGCCCTCGGCTGAGCCCCTGACTTTCACGCTTTCATTATCTCCTGTCCTTATTATATTCTCTGTAGAGCTTACGGATAAACGAACAGTCAAAATGATTGCCAAAAGGAGGACACCGGACGTCCCTCCCTAACATGTTGCCAAAGCACTGACCACCCTCCCTTGGGCCTTCTTTGGCCCAGCTCCACCTTCACGTGGTGCGTGAACTTCTGAGTAATGTATTGGCCCAGAGCAACCAGAGAGTGGATTTGCTATTCACTGAGGCGGGTAAGCTGCAAGTAGCGGTGGCTTAAAGGGAAGCTCAGGATTCTAACTTCAAGCATGGTCGCTTTGAAATGCCTATAAGACCACAAAGCATCTGTCATAAGCAATTCAACATTTGACTGAATATTGAGAGGGGGTCGTGCCTGGGCATATAAATTTGGAAGTTATTAGCATATACTTATTTCATGGTATTGGGTGAAAATATGAAGAGAATGAGCGTAGATAAAGGAATGAAAAGTGGTGAACCCTGGACCAACACAGCATTAACTGGTTGAAGATAAGAAATCAACAAAATCCTGTTAGGAATTCTAGCAATCTGTCAAGAATCATATTATGCAAAATTTTAGTAATCTCCATTAGTGACATGTTTTTTTCCTTCTCATGACTATGAAGGTGGGAGAATAAAATCCAGCTTTCAATGAGTTAAGGACACCTGTGCTTATGAAAATGGAAACTCGGTGTGCAGAAAATGCCCTCAAGTGATTTAATTTTTTAAGTTGATTAGAGCGCAGCCTTATGACACCAAAGTCATGGGTTTGGATCCCCATACACACCAGCTGCTGGAAAAAAAAAATTAGAGGAGAAGCATAGAGTCAGTATGTTAAATGGAGTCAAGTTATTAAGGTGGAGTTAAATTCCTGTAAGAAGGAGTTGTGTATAAGAGATTGCGAAGAGGAAAAAAACAAAAAAGATCATGAAGAAATGTGGCTTAATCGACATGCAAGGAACACTGTTATTTGCCCAAATTTGGAGACCTAATTATGGATAGACATTCATATGGATGACGCTTACAGTTAAAGTTAGATCTATATAGATCTATCTAAAGTTAGATCTATATATTGTGTCATCAGAGGCCAGAATGTTTGCAGTCAGTGCAGGTGAGGAAAGGTATGTAGATATTGGAGTAACTTTGACTCCGTAGTTGCTTTTTCTATCTACTTGCCCAAAATGTGCCCAGTTGATGTGAATTTATCCAGCACCTGGAATGAGTAAATTGCAGGGTTCATATGTATGAACTAGTTAATTTATTAGAAATTGCCAGGGGGCTGGCTGGTTAGCTCAGTTGGTTAGAGTGTGGTGCTGATAACACCAAGGTCCAGGGTTCAATCCCTGTTCTGGCCAGCTGCCCCTCCCTCCTGAAAGTGTTTAAATGAAATAGTAAGAAAACTGACAAGAGGACTAAGTTAGAAAGCATAGATATGTAAGCACTGAAAGTGCAGGTAAAAAACCATGAGCCAGTGTCTTAGAATATTCAAATTATAGATCTGCAATAGTGGGAGCTGTTTATCTGAGAGTGGAGTGGCTGCATTATTTATACTTAATTATTGGGTCTGGTCATAATAGGGATGAGGCCAGCATTTGTTGGACATCTCACAATGAGAAGAGACCATACAGAGTATGGTAGTGGGAGTAACATTAACAAGGCGAACTCCATATGAAGTGTTTTTAGCTAAGAGAAACTGGAAAACAATGGCTGCATTGAGCAGAAAACAGGTTTGAGCTCATCGCTGAGGAATCTGGATATTTGTTCTAGGTGCAGTCAGTTTATCTTGGACCCAGGGAGCAGCCATCACATCAAACTGACAAAAGAAGGGCCGGCCTGTGGCTCACTTGGGAGAGTGTGGTGCTGATAACACCAAGGCCCCAGGTTCGGATCCCATATATGGATGGCCAGTTAGCTTACTGGGTGAGCACAGTGCTGACAACACCAAGTCAAGGGTTAAGATCCCCTTACCGGTCATCTTTAAAAAAAAAAAAAAAAAAGATAAAATAATTTAGAGGAAAGTTGTAAGAGCACTTCCCGAATTGCTGTGAGCAGAGTGTGTGATTTCAGAAGAGGTGATGTTACATTTATTATTAGGGATGACCTGTTCTGATGCAATCAGCATATGACACCCACTGAGGGGCTACTAGATGCATTTGAGAATTGGGTGACATTGATGTACAGTACACAGAGAGTGAATCTTTGGGTTGATGACAGTCCTGTTTTACAAATTGCATCATCCTGAAAACATGGGGAATAGTAAGTTAAGGAGCCACCTTAATAGCTGGTAGATTATGCACCCACAGGGCATTTATCTGCAGAAAGTAGACTCTAGTTTTCAAGGAGAGTGGTGAAGTCACCATCTATGGGGGACAGGGAGGTAAAATCTTAATCTTGGGCAACTCTCATGGCAGAGTTTCCATCCCCGTTCCAGCCAACTGCCAAAAACAACAATAAAAAAAACAGAGTTTCCACAAGAAATAGATTCTACTCAGTTGCACATCAATTCACACAACTATAAAGACCTGGAACAAAATGATTCAGCTTTTATTAGCAAATGGCATCTTAAAAGAGAAAAAGCAAAAAAGAAATGAGGTAGCAGAGCCAAGAGAGCTCTCTGAGCAAACACTGAAGAACAGAGGCAGACAGAGCTCAGGAAGCCATCTGAGCACAAGGAGGCAGCACCCTCCGGGAGTGGGCCTGGACCCAGGGGTGCTCCAGGATCTGAGCCAGGGGCAGCCGCTCCAAGGGCTGGTATCTAAGAAGCTTGGAGATCAAGTCCCTGGCCCCCACAGGCATTGATAGGGGAAACTTCACATCCACCTGATGAGGCCAGGGAAGAAGAAAGAGAAGTGTGGTTCATTTCTTTGGTTGATGTTCTCCCTATTCTTTGAGTCTCTTCAAGGCGCTGTTCTGTACATTAGTAAACAATTTGTGTGTGTGCTCCCAGTCCCCCCATTCCCTCATGAATGCCAAAGTGTGGCCATCCCACCTTGAGAATGCGTCTGTAGGTCTCATTGTGAGAGGTGCTCTCAAAGGGCGGATTTCCCACCAGCAGCTCATAGCAGAGCACCCCAATGCACCACAGATCCACTTTCTCATCATATGTTCTCCCCTCGATCATTTCTGGGGGCAAGTAGTCAAGAGTCCCACACATTGTCTTTCTCCTAGAGGAGGGCAGAAAAGAGAACACTGTGCAGAGGCGCAGAACGAGATCTTCCCCAGCTCCCAGTGAGATGGGAGACCCTAGGTCATCCAGAACATTCCCCTCCCAAGCATGGAGATTTGGATACACCAACTTTTAATATACATCAAAGTTCAGAGAAGGTAAGTACTAAGACCTATAAATTACATATTTTGGAGTTATTCATACAATTATTTAGCTCATGATCCAGAATGTTTTCACAAGAATATTCTCAGCATCAAGGAAGATTTAGAACAAACCGATGGTGCACCCAGAGGGACCAAGTAAATAAATTATGGTTCATTCATATAGAAAAATACACTCCTGGAATTACGGAACGATGGTTCTTAACTTATTTACCTGGAAACATGTTGGTAAAGTTATATGTCAACAAAGATCAGAAAATAAAAGATCTGGTTAGGCCACATTCTTTAAATCTACAAATTTAAATGTATATATTTGAAAAAGGGAATATTTAAATACAACCCCCAGGTTTGTATCTGGGTCTTATATGTGGAATGAATTAAACTGGATCATTCCTAACTTGCACTCAGGGCCCACCTCACCATCATCTGACCTACCTCAGAGAGGGGGTATGGACAGACCAGCCAAAGTCAGCAATCTTCACCTCACCCCTGAATCCCAGCAGCAGATTTTCTGGCTTAATATCTCTGTGAATCACCTTGTTGTCATGGCAGTAGGTCAGAGCATCTGCCAGCTCCTCCATTATCTGTATGAGCAAATTGAAAGCAATCTGAAAATGAAACCTGCCACAATTTTTCTATGAGGTAGAATGCTCATCGTGAGTTTTATGATTGTAGTGGATTCTTTTATTTTTTGGCTATTAATTCCATTGCATCCTTTTTACTAACACCACAGTTATTGGCAGGGGAGGACTTCCTCTAAAGCTAAAGTAGACAGTTCCTCCCTGTTGCCCTAACACAGCAAGTAGTCAGACACTAACCTACACTGAGCCAATCACATGATCTCCCACTGGACTTGAGGCCTGAGGAAATGATAAATGGGTGGGAAGATGGAAGATCATTCTTTCTGACGGATCAAACTGACCTGACCTTGCTGCTAGGAAAGATCATTGCTGTGGTTGCTTTTCAGGAGCCCTCTAAAAATCTCTTGCTACCTATTTCTAAGCTAGTTCTATCTATTTATTCAGTGAACTCCCTCATGGCCTTTCAATATGTTTCTTTGCAGAGGGTAGTGAAGTTAGATTATGTTGCTTACAACCAAAGAATCCAAACTTATACACACTACTGGAGATACACTGGGGGTAATTAGGGTATCCAAATTTGAAGTTGTAAATTGTGTCATTATATAAAATTTATAGAATAAAATTCAGAAATAAACCTTAAAAGAACAATCTGGATACTCATGACAGCCACAAAACAGAGACCCCCACCAGTCCACAGTAATGGACGCCAAAGCCTCCAGCCCCCCCACCTTACCGTGGCTGTACGCTGTTCATCTAATTTGTGGCTTTTCTGCAGTTCCTTGTAGAGCTCACCCCTTGGAGCATATTCCAGAATCAGGTATACCCGGCGAGCATCATGGAAGTAGTTGTACAGGCGTAAGATATTGGGGTGTCTGAAGGAGATATTATAGAAAGGGTCAGACTTCTCCTTAAGGCCCAATATGTGATGCTATTACCAGCATAAGTGGCAAATTGTGCTGGGACCGGAATAACAGCCTGATCCGGCAGCAAGTGAGGGGAAAACAGGGAACAGGCATAACGATTCCAATCTGACACAGGGAGTTTTAGATGGTGTAACTGGAATGAAGTGCAGAGAAAAATCTTTAAGGTGGAAGCAAAGGGCTTATTTGGGAGTAGTATATGAGGGAAACACTGGGCTCAGATATCAGAAATGGACGAGCAAACAGAATAACATGTAAAGAACCAGTACGGGAGTCTCATGCACAGACTGTCCTTACTGTAGATGCGCCTGGATTTCAATTTCCCTGCGCAGCTGGTGCTCCAGTCCTTCCTTTTCTATCTGGGACTTGAAGAGGACCTTCAGGGCCACAATGAAACAGCTTTCTTTGAGTCGTGCCAGATACACATTCCCAAATTTCCCCTTGCCCAGAGGACGCCCGATTTCAAAGTCATCAATTGTGAGGCGCCGCCTGACAGGAGAGGGAAATAAAGAGCCTCAGCTCAGGAGGTAGGTGGAGGGAGAGTCGGGGATCCTGAGTGCTCCCCTTCATCTTTCACTTTACCCTCCCTCTGCCCATTTCCCCTCTCAGGGGTCCAGCCTGGGAGTTCAGTCAGGACAGTAGCTCTCAGTCACAAGAGCCAGCACCCCACATGCCCAGCTTGCTCTTCGTCCCTGGGTCCCACCTCTCATCCTCTTCCAGATACCAAGCCAAAGGCACTCACATAGTTGGGATGCTGGGCTGCGTTTCGCCTTCAGCAGCTACTGAAAGAGGCCGGGGTTGGGGGGCAGTGAAAGGGAGGAGGGTGGGGAAGGTGGAGACGGGAGGAGGGGTGCAGAGGGAGAGAGACGTCAACAGTTTCTTCTGTGCACCCCAACCCCCAACAACGGCCACCAGTCCTTTCTTCTCGCCCCTCTTTCTCCGGCCCTGTTTTTTCCCCTTTTACCTGCGGGCCGAGCTTTGCAAGACTGCATCATAGCTTTAGGGTAACTCTATAGACAGGAGATAAGAGAGAGTTGACGCCTTCGTGAGCCCTTTGGAACTGGGCGTTCACGCCCGCGTGAATCTGAAAAGGGGTCGGAGGAGATTCGGGTTGAGGCTCTTCCAATCCTGACCCGCTCCCACGGCGGCCCGGAGGAAGGCATGGGGCAGATACCTCGTAAAGGATCCTCCCTAGCTCACGGGTCCCTGAGATCCACTGCGTCTTGGGCAACGCGGACAGGGCTGAGGATAAAATACTACGCGCCTGGAGCCTGACTGATTCCCATTGGTTGAAATATCTGACGCCATCTGCAGCGTGCCCAATAGGAAAGGCAGAAATGGGAACTTCCGCCCAGAGCCCGAAGATGCTGGGCCAGTGGGACAGCAGGGGGCGGAGTCAGTACTGGGGCGGGACCCCGGACGCTGGAAATTGTGGCCACAGGAGCCGAGGGCTAAGGCCCAAGAGAAAAGGGAAGGGAACGAGAGGAACGCAGGGAGGCTGGAGGCTGTGATGTGAGCGTGCCTGAATGAACGAACAAATACATAAATCCGTAAGTGTGTAAATGATTGAATTAAGTGTCACGATGCACACGGGAATGAGGCTAAATCCACCTTTGGAACGCAGGGAGGCTGGAGGCTGTGATGTGAGCGTGCCTGAATGAACGAACAAATACATAAATCCATAAGTGTGTAAATGATTGAATTAAGTGTCACGATGCACACGGGAATGAGGCTAAATCCACCTCAGGAACGTGCCGGGGTACCCTTCTGCAGTTCACAAACCCCCAAACCACGTGCGCGCCCAAACGGCCCCTGCTGCAAGGTCGTGTCCGATTCAAGGACCTCTCCAATCACGCACATACATGAGGGCCACCGCGGTGGAGCTCCCTGAATTTTGTGCCTCCGTCCCCCGCTGTCTCGTGGTTTGTGCCCTCTTCCAATCCACCCGCAGAGACTCCCGCTCCCACCCCCCCACACCCGCACACCCAGCACTGCCCGGTTGCCATGACGAAATGACATATATCCACACTCACCCCTTGCATGCCACATACTATGTTATTTGTTGGACCTTGCACTCAGCATTTTTTGGTCCCAGATAGTAAACTCAGCCCAAATATTTATTTCCTTAGCAAATACACGACATTCAAAACATTTGAAATTGAATTCTTTTAGACAAAATAGATGTTGGAGAAATATAATTGAAAACGAAATCTCCCAACCCAGAAAACCTCTCCACACAGCAAGATGATTTATGGTAGTGATAAGTGCTCTGAGAAATAGATAATAAAGTGGTAAGAGAGAGAGTGCCTGGGTGTAGTCACTCATGTTGGGGAAATGGAATTAAAACAAAATTTCCTCCCAACCCAGAAAACTTCTTCACAAAGTAGCAGAGAAAGAACACAGTTTTATTACTGAATAAACATGGAACCAGAAAGTAATGCACATCACAGGCAATACAGTAAGACATTGCAAAGACAGATAAACAAAAAAAATTTTTACCCTTTTATATACCAAAGCAGATACAACTCATTACATACATGTTCTCAAAATAAACAATATTTAGTCCTTAACTAAGGAAACATGAGAGTACCAGTTTTACACAAATTTTAAATTTACCTGGCAATTGACATCTGCGTTAGTTAAATTGGCTTTCTATGAGGGGGAAAACAAACAAAAACAAAAACACTTCTCATTTATTTATGACAGCAGGTAGTTTTGCAACTTGAAGAAAGGTGCCCAGGAAAGATAGACTCCTGCCCTTCCGCAGAAACTGGGATACGGTGCAGAGGGAGAGAGACGTCAACAGTTTCTTCTGTGCACCCCAACCCCCAACAACGGCCACCAGTCCTTTCTTCTCGCCCCTCTTTCTCCGGCCCTGTTTTTTCCCCTTTTACCTGCGGGCGTTTATCTTCCCTTCCTTTTAACGCCCCCCTCATCCCACATATATAAAACGAGTATCACAAAACATAAAGTTAGTCTTATAAAAAGTTTTCATATTTGATATTTTAAAAAACCAAAACAATTAATATTGCTTTTACATAAATAAAAAAAAGGAGATGAGACAAATCTTCCTAAAAAAGAATTGAAAATATGAGAGTTCAAAAGTTCACAGAATGATTCATATTATCTTTTGATTCAATTTTCCACAAACTTTTTGAAGTACCTTCATAGTATATATAGATATTCCCCCCTTCAGGCTGTGGAGCTACATTCCTCTCCCCTTGAGTATGGGCTTGACTTAGTGACGTTAAGTATGGAAAGAGAAAAACAGTAACTTGACAGGGGAGAAGCCTGGTAGATAGACAACACTCCAACCAAGTGATCAAGGTTAGCATCATTAGTGATAATTCGTGTGGACATTATGTACCTACTAATATGATGCAACAAGGACACTTAGCCACTCTGATGTTCTTCCCCGAAATACACACTAGTCCATGAAAAAAATTAAATAAATGAAAATTGAAGGACATTGCATAAAATACCTTATGAGCACTTGTCAAAAGTGTTTAGATCACAAAAAACAAGAAATACCAGAGTAACTACCGCATATGGGGGAAGACTATGATATAGGATGATTAAATGCTATGCGCTGTTCTGAGTTGGATCCTGCAACAGAAGGGACATTTGTGGGAAAAACTGGTGAAATCCAAATACAGGCTATAGTTTAGTTAATATTATACCAATGTTAATTTCTTAGCTTTGACAAATGTGCTACAGACCCGTAAGATGTTATACTAACATGAGGTGAAGCTGGGTGGAGGTGTTATACAGGAACTCTATACTATCTTTACAGGAAATCTAATTGGCTTTTATTGTTTTGTTTTGTTTTTTAAGCTTAAACTAAAACAAAAAGAGCAAGGAGAGAATTCGGCCATGACAGAGTGAGGTGCCCTGCAGACTCACTCCCCAGTGAAATGTGTAAAATTATTAAAAACAAACATGCAAACATACATTTAATGTCTCAGAAAATGGTCCTAAGGACATATAACAAATTAGATAACATTTATTCAAAACAATTCCACAATTCTGTAAGAACAGCAAGTCCCAGGTATTTGAACCAAGACCATCATTCTCCCTCCACTTTCCCATTTCAGTTAGATGGAAACTTTTCTCTACAGTGTACATACAAGAACACTGGGCACCCTCACTGCCAGCTCCCATTCAGAAGACTACCTTCTCAGGAGGGTCTCATTCTGGCCCCAGCTATTTGATGCTGATGCTAAATTCCTGGCAAGTGTGTCTCCAGATGCAGGTGTTGCCTTCTTCCTCCACCCATCCACCACTTATGGGATGCAGGCTATACCTTGGGCACCATGCCACTGAGACTCCTGGGCCCTAGTCTCAGACTCATCCTTGCTCCTGCCAACAGGTAGTGATTCCATATGAGGAAAGAGCAGCTGAAAAGATTTGAGGCTACTGCCTACCCACCCCCACTGAGCACTCAGCTTCCAAAACGGTATTAGAGAGAAGTGTGCCATTGTCTCCACCACCAATAATGGAGCTTTGGCTCAGAGATTTTCCCTGTGAAGCAGAGAGACACGGTAGGGTCACAAAAGGAGAGAGAGGAAACAAAAACAAAAACAAAAACAACACAGTAGGGTCACAACAAATATTTTACGCTTATCATGGAAAACCAAGAGGCCCAAATTTTTTTGTTTAGGCTATGAAGTTTATGCCCCAGGGCATTGCTAAAAGCAATATAATTCTGAGCTCTCTACTCAAACCCCATCCATGGTCTCTGTAGGTAGAAGAATCAACAACACCCAGATACTCTTTCTGGTCAAGAAGGTGATGAATGGGTCCTGACTCTGAAATACCTCTGGAATCTGCTGCTCTCTGTTCATCTTGTCTCTTTAAAGGGAATTGTTCCCTCAGAGGTGTCTGCTCCAGTCAGCTCCTCCTTCCTTTCCTTGTTGAATCCATCTTGTTTCAAGGAGCCAGGAGTGCAAACGTATCTTAGTCCCAAACTGTGATTCTCACTCTGGCACGGAAGCTCCCTCTATAGTCACAGGCTGTTTGCTGGGAGCACAGACGGAGAGCTAGTAGTCTCAGCAACCAAGTTTGACCCAACAGGCCCACAATAGTGCTGAGAGACTACGGGACTTAGTAGCTTCATTGTAAAATCCACTCAAACAGTTGCTTAAACATACACTCTAAAGAAAGAACTGGACCTTGACCAGCTCCAGGTAGACAACCCCTGATGCTTGGAGTATCTTGCCTGGGAAGAACGCATTTTATGCCTGTGGGCATAGGCCCTGCTGCATCTATTTGACCAGATCATTTATGCTAACAATGTGACTCACGCTGACTTTTCTGTCTGATGCCCTGGGCCACAGTATGTACTTGCTTTCAGCAAAGGCTGGAGACTGAGGATCTGTGTTTAGTCACATGGGTACTGCATTCCTACGTAAATGACCCTAATAAAAACCCTGGACACAAAGGCTTATGTGAGCTTCTCAGGCTGGCAATATTTTGAATACGTTGTAATGCATTTTTGCTAGGAGAATTAAGTGTGTTGGCCCCTTGCAACCACACTGGAACACCTGTAAGTTTGTACCTGGTTTCTCATGGACTTCACTCTATGTTCCCTTTCCCTTTGGTAATATTGGATCTGTATACTTTTTGCTGTAATACACTGTAATCATGAGCATAACAGCTTTTGAGTCTTGTGTGTCCTACTAGCAACTTGTCTAGCCTGAGGTGGTACTGGGGAAAGAACCCCACAAAATAATGTAAAATGTCAAAGTGATTTAAGGCTTATTCACTTAATAAATATCCAAATATATGTTTTAAAAACTATGTATATGGAACAAATAATTAGGAGGAAATCTAAATTAAGGTCTGTGCTATTTTGGAGCTGGAAATCTAGTTGGGGAGATAGTCATGATTCAATAACAAAATATATAGTTATGAAAGAATGGTTATGACCTAGGTGGATGTTTAATAATATTCTCTGGGGATGTGCTTTTGGGGGTAAGATGAAGGATAAGCATTCACTAGCTGGGCAAAGTGGGTGGTGAAAGCACCCTATGTCAGGTGGGGGAGGAGAGGAGAACAGGAAGTGAAAGAGAAGAGGGGTAAGAATTGTGTAAAATCAAAGGTTATGCTTCAAGTGTAAAGTTAAAAAAAGAAAAAAAGGCTTGTAGGTAAGTTCCTGTGATGATGTACAGCACCAGTCAGGAAACTACAATGAGGAAAAAGGGCATTAACTGCTTAGGTGCAAT